ACAAGAAAAGGTCCATGATAGTGATGAAAATCATGATGAGAATCTTGATAATTCCGAAACTCATCCTTTCTCAACAAATGTGACTACATTCATTGAAGAAAATGAAGGAGATGATGTGCATGCTATTCGCATAGAGCATGAAGAAGGGATATGGGAGGACCAGTAAGATTTTTTTTTATAAGTTAATTCCATGTTACTTTATTTTCTAATTGTTTTTATTTTGTGCTTAATTTTATTTCTAATTGTTATTATTTTGTGCTTAATTTTATTTCTAATTATTTTTATTTTGTGTAAGCAGATACTTGGGTGATTCAAACGACAACCCTTCTTCATCTAGTAACCCCGATAAAAGAAGTGTTAGAGGTCCCACTTTCATGACACAAATTGAAAAAGTTCATCAAACAGATGAAAAGATAAAGGTCGAGTTTAATCCAAGAACCTATGAATGTATTGGTGTTGGTAAAAATGCTACACATTTTATGAGTTATATAGCATGTCTTGCTCGGCAGTACTGTAGTATTGTGAAAAATGATTGGAAAGAAGTAGATGAAGGCGTAAAAGATTCTATTTGGACTGATATTTAGGTATTTTAAATACAACACTTTATTATATTTTATAATCATATATTAATTAACAACATATGAAATATACTATATTTGTAGTCTCATTTTACTATTCCAGAATGTAATGATCCAAAGAAGGATAGGTTGAAGAAAGAGTGGATTAAATATGCGGGAGAGCGATGGAGAGGTTTTAAGACACAACTCACAGACAAATATATTAATCATCCCATAGAAAATGATCCTCCTCCATATGTCAAGTAGAACTTTATTACTGAAGACGCATGGAAATAGTTTATCAAGATTCGAGATACCCCAGAACTTAAGGTTAGTATGAGTTATATGTTTTTGTGTGCATAATATTTTTATTATATTTAGTGATTAATAACTTTTTGAGTTTATAATAGGAAAAAAGTCAAAAGGGTAAGAATAATGTGGCTAAGAATGTATACCCACACTTATTGTCTCGTGGAGGGTATCGCTTGCTTGAGGAGAAAATTATGAAAGAAAAGTCATCATCGAGAGATAATTCCATATTAGATGATAATGGTAGTCCATCTCTACCATTACGCCATGAGTTATGGAAGAGAGCACGAAAAAAGAAAGAAGGAGAATACACATCAAAATCTACACAAGAGGTTGCTGAAAAAATTGTAAGTAAACAATGCAAAATACTTCTAGTATCATTATATTTGTGATTGATTAATTGTGGTTTATATATTTTGTAGGATTCTCTAGTTCAAGAAGATGAAAAAGGTGCAATTGTTCCGATTGGACGTAACGATATCTTAACATTATCCATTGGAACATCTAAGCATGAAGGTCGTGTTCGTGGTGTTGGAAAGGTCACGTGGCGTAAATGAACAACTTGCAACATTCGAAACAAAACTTAGAGTTAAACTTGAAGAAAAGTTGGTTGAAGAGCGTAAGATGTTTCAACAATCATTAATGGAGACACTTAAGTCTATGGGTTTATTACAAAGCACAAATAATATTAAATGCATTGAAAAAATGGAAATTATCGATGGAAGCGGAAAAGGAAGTTGTTCAGCAGCAAAAGGAAGCACAAAAGACGTGGAAGTTGATGATGTTCAGAGATTGTTACTCATGGTTTTGAAAATGGATGACAACCATTTGGAAATACAGTTAAGTCATTGTGCGAGTGTCTCTAATTTTTATATTTCAACTAAGTGTATCAGAGAGTTATTGGTGGATTTAGGTCATTGGCTTGACGTGCCTATTCTGCAAATTTGGTGCACTTAAGTATATTTTATTATTTTATTAAAGTCAATCTCTATTAATATGTTATATCTCTCATCACTTTGATTCTAATGTTTATTTTAAAATTATTCAGGTATATTCATCGTGTATGTCTTGAGAATTCCATTTCAGAATTATATAGATTTATGGATCCTGCTAGGTGTATTTATAATGATAATGGAGCGAAATCTCAAGAGGATGTTAAAAATTACGTACTAGAAAAGTTACGTGATGAAAACAGAGTGTGCCACTTACTACCATAAATTCATGGATAAGAATTTTTATGAAATTGTGTTTTATATTATTTAATTTTGATAACATATATATTTTATGTGACTTTTCTATTTTCACACACACGTACAAGAGACATTGGCAATTAATAGTCATGTGTCCAAGAGACAATTTAGTTGTCGTATTTTATTCACTTCATCGGGAAATTGACCAGAACACGAAGAAAATTATTACAAAGTAAGTTTATCTTTCATGTGACTTTCATTGACAATTAATAGTTATGTGATTTTTCATTGGTGAGTAAATTTAGTTATGTGATATTTATCTTTCTGTATTAGTTCTTTTGGGATTCATCAAATGGCAAATGGAAATAGAAAAAAAGGTTACATGGCTTCATCCCAATGTAAGTGTGATGTAAATTGTAATTCTATAGTTAAATTTATGATAAATATTCACTAATTATGTCATTCAATTGTAGACAAGGCAATAACATAACTCTAATGCTTGGGGGTACTATGTGATGAAAAATATGTTGGATATTGTCTCTGCCAATATAACCGAGAATTGAATGTAGGTAATAAAAATAACTTTAGATTGTTATTTACTTTTTGTTTTGCAACTTAATATGAAATTTTAAAGAAAAACTCTATATTGTTATATTTATGTACTATAGGTATTTGATGAACCAACAGAATTAACACAAGATAATTTGTATGATTTACGACTCCGTTGGGCAAAATGTTTCTTTGAGTTATATAAAAATTAAGTTTTATCTGGTGAGTTTTATAGAATTGTCTAAGTTGTTGTTTTTGCACATAATTGTTATTATTGAGTTTTTGCACATTACATGTGGTTTTTGCACATGTATTGAGTTTCTTGATATTTTTTGCTGATGTTAATTGTTATTATTTATTTTCAGACAATGTGATTTTGGTGTTGTCTACCGAAGCTATAACTCATCTACTTGTGGATTTAGATTGGTAATTCAAGTTTGGAAAAAGACTGATAAATAGTTGAATATTTTTGTATGTTTTGTGAAGAATATATATTTATAAGTTTGTTGTGAGTTTGTTTGTTATGATACAATTCAAGTTTGCAATACAATTGTTCATTTTGTAAGTTTGTTGTGAAATATATGAAAATATCGACCTAGATGTGATCTATGTGATGTTGGAAAGCTATGACATATATATAGCGACCTAAATATAGTCTGTGTGATTAAAAAAAATTGCTTATATTTTACATCGGTCATTACTTCCAACCGATGTAAAAACTGTCAACACTGTATCTATTACATCGGGCATTAAGTACAACCGATGTAAAAATGATATATTTTACATCGGTCCACACGGTCCACCGATGTAAAAATGATATATTTTACATCGGTCCACAGATGTAAAATGTTGCGTCAATTTTTTTTAAAATAATCTTATAATTGTATTTTAAATCAGGCTTAGCTTATAATCGATATGTTAACTGTCTTTTTCACATCGGACCCAGAACCGATGTAAAATGTCTCTGATTTACTATATCGCCTGACTTTACATCGGACTCAAAACCGATGTAAAAAATCAGTTTCGTCCGATGTAAAAAGTCATTGCTGCACTAATGTAAAATTTTCTTTCTAGATCAACTTCAGCTTTGAAAGATTTGAGCATGCATAGAGACCGGTATTTCTCACTAGTTAAGTACAAATAGGCTATTTCAACTGTGATGACATTTTTAATGTCAATTTGAATACTCCAGGTTGTAATGGCATTTTTAGGAACTACATAGGTGATTTGTTCTAACTTTTGCAAAAAAATGTCATGCATAGATCTTCTATCATTGTCGAGTTTTTAATTGTCTTAAAGTGTATTCGGATTGCAAATCAACATAATTGGCATAAACTTTGAGTTGAAACAGACTGCATGATGATTATCAAAGCTTTGAGATGAACATCTTGATTGGGTACAACTAACAACACAAACATCATCATAATGCATATATATACATAAAAGGGGACTCTTGTGCAGGCTACTTTGCAAATATGGCTCTAAACATGAGTTCTTCAATAATTTTTTATTTCATCCTCATTTGGATAAGAAATAATTTTGTAAAGAATAAGATAGACATACTATTCTTTAGGTCTCCTTGATCATCTCTTTGTACCATCTTTTCTTTTAATATATAAGTCATTATTAAAAAAAAGAAACTATGATCGTAAAAAATCTTTGGTTTATTTAAATTAGTATGAATAGTATTTGTCTATACATATTAATAATAATGTTAACTTATCAATCTATTTAAATATAAATTAGACCATTAATCTAAATATTTTTGGCTAAGACAATTCTCATGGTTGCAAGGAAGAATATCCATATTGCATCAAAAAGCAATATATTAGTGAGAAACACATTTTTTTCATGTAAATTTGGGATTTCCAACTGATCACATGTCAATAATCTTTCTTTTAAGAGTAAGTCCATCCATTATGCTTCTCTCAAGCGGAACTTCTTTCATCCACATATACATGTATTACCATTGAAATCCTTATCACGTCATGGTCTCACGGAAACTTCAACAAGATAAACTACTTGACTACTATCATGTCAGGAAAACTTTTGATACAAGGAATTGATCTCTTACTCGAACATCGACTCTGATATCATTAATTAATGAGTAAAACCAAATAACAGAAAAAACCTTAAAAATATTAGGTATATGGATCTTTTCACTTATAAATGTTCAACCTTTAATTTTCATGCAACTTGAAACTTTAAACTCACACTTATATCTCATCAAATTCATCATAAATTTTGTTTTCTTTTGAAGAAAATTCAACAAAATTTTGTTATTCTCTAAATGAAGAAAGTGCTAAGAAATTTCCTAAACAGTTGTACTAGCATGCTAAGAGAGCATGAATAAGCTGCTTCCAAGATCCAGAATTATTTAATATTAGCTTTAACAATGATTCTGCAACTCACAATACTTTACATGATAATTCTAATAATATCTCCCATATCTCCTCCACTAGCATCAGCACAAGAACATATAATCATAGCACGAGATGGCTGTAATTCAACATGTGGAACAGTTACAATCCCTTTCCCATTTGGAATGAATAAACCCCATTGCTATGCAGACAAATGGTTCGAAATAGAGTGCAAATTTGACAACAATACTTCTTCTGATGTTCCTTATTTGAAGTCGTTAAATCTTGAGGTAAATGGATTTTACAATAACATGGTTGAGATTATGAACCCAATTTACCTTTCCAATTGTCGTCATAAAAGCAAAAATAGTAGCAACAGTAACAAAACTGTTACTTTTAGAGGCAGTCCTTTCGTATATTCAATGACTGAAAACAGATTTCTAGCTGTTGGATGTAACGTTCTTGCTTTTTTTCAATCAAATGGGACAGCGGTTGGGGCTTGTATATCAATTGGTCACAGCGACGACAACAACAATATCAATTTCAATTTCGGCAGGTGTAGCTGCGAGACTTCAGTGCCTTCACATCTTTCGGAGTTTAATGCAACAATACAAGGTTTAATTGAACAAAGGAGTGATGGTTGTGGTTATGCTTTGATTACAAATGATAACAGGATACCTTTTGACAGTTCGGATAATATGAACACGGATGATAATGAGACATTGAATGAATTGAAGAACATGGAATATGCTTCTGCAATGCTTGAGTGGGAGATTTTGAATGATATGTTAATTAATTCCACATTTCAACTACCTCCAAATTGTTACAACTCCAAGGTTACTTCTTTAAGTAACAGAACCACCGGTCGGCAATGTCAATGCTCGTCCGAGGCTTACTATGGCAATCCCTACACTTCACATGGATTGCCAACTTGAACTTATCAACGGCCAAGAACCATTTTTATAAAGTAACATGGATTGCCACATCGACACTCTCACCTTATTCACACTATAAATAAGACATCTCTTTCTCTCATTTTAGACTAACAATACCACAAATCATTCACTAAATTAAGCCAAAACTCTCTTTTTTTTCTCTTCATTTTCTTTCAATTCATTTCTTCATTTTATTGAATATGTAGGCTATTAGACTTGTTCTTTATTTAATTCTATTGCATTTTACTCTTCTTTATTTATTTAATACAATAATTATCACCATTTTGCAAGGAAACTTCATTGATTAAAAATCAAGAGTTGAAAAGAGTTCTTGAACCTCCAAAAACAAAAATGATTTATTGTTGTTTAATTTTCGTTTTTTCTGTAATTTTTTGTTGTTTTTATATACTTATTTTGAGCATGGGTCCTTGTTTCTGAGATTGAGTAGATAATTTTTTATTATTTATTTGTTTATGAAATTTTTATTATTTTTATTATAGACTTCATCTTATTCTTTTTTATCTATTTTATTTTATTTTATTTGGATCAATTTGGAAAGCATTTGAGCTTTTTAGTTCACCTAAGCTTGTCGGATATTTGATGAACTTTCATCATTTTCAATCTAACTCTAAATGGTCATTTGATCATTCAAGGTACTTGAGATTGATGATAAGTTTGTCATAATGTATCTTCCTTGACTTTGTCTTGATCCCTCATGTTTTTTAATTGTATTACATTTATAAGAGAATGAACTTCAAAATATCATTTCTCTACACTACAACATTTAGGCTCTCCAGCAACAATTGAAAAACGTTGCCAGAACTCTGAAAATCGTTGCCTAAAATAATAGGGGACGTTTTCTAGACGTCTCCTGTGCGAGTGTTGCCTATTGTTTGAGGCGACGTTTTTTTATGTTTTTTGGGAACGCTTTTGAAAAACGTCGCCTATAATAAAGGAATATGGGACGATTATTTACGGCCTCTGAGACAACGTTTTTTAAGCGTTGCGTTGCCAAATTCGGCTACAATTAACAATCGTTTCCTTAAACCTGAATCAGGAAGATCGTTTTTGAAGTGTAGCCATAGCTTATAGGTTGTTGTTTTATAGTGTCCACATAAAATATACAATTTTGCAATTATTATCAAAATAATATAGTCAATAATAATTGGCTTCAAAAATTATATTGATTATATAACTTAAACCATACACCATAAAAGTTGTAATATAATAAAATCGAGTTCAAACTTTAATTCAAGATATAGTATATAGAGTACACAAAATGCCTAACGTAACAATATTACTTTTAATACTTTGAAGTATGACCCTAGTAAAATAACTAAAAACATAGTTCAGCAAAAGAACAAAAATCATATTTCAAGTTTAATGCTTTCAACTACAAGCCAAAAAAAAGACATCATCCAACTCATTCAAGTTTGTCTTCTAGGAGTAAAGCATCCAGATTGTCCTCTTGAAATTCGTTAGATATGTCATCCTCCATAAATTCTTCATCTATGTCGTCCTCTTGAAATTCACCATCTATATCCTCCTCTTGAAATTCATCATCTAGATCTATGGCGTCCTCTTGAAATTCGTCATCTACGTCGTCCTCTTGAATTTTATCATTTAGGTCGTCCTCTTGAATTTTATCATTTATGTCGTCCTCTTGAATTTCATCATTTATATCGTCCTTTTCAACATCTTCATTGATACATTGCTGCATAAGAAAATAAAATAAAACACATTAACCATAAGTATTTTTGGTCCAAAGGACAATTAAGACATCAACAAGAATTAAACCTCGCACAAATAAAAACTAAACCAATGAGCAAAACACATTGTTTATATTCTTCACATCTCATGGATGTGAATTAATTATGAAGGTTTTTAATGGATGTGAATTTTCGTTCTAAACTGTAATAGGTGACATGAGCTTACTAGCAAATAAATCAATTATGAAAACCATTCTGTTTTTGGCTCACTATTCAGGACTTACAATAGCCTTTAACTGTATGTATGTATGTATGTATGTATAACTTGTGCTATCCTTTTATGTTTGTTTTTTTGGAGTAAATGAACTCTGATGAACACTCTTACTTGTTGTATCTTCTTTGGTGTTCAATATCATATGGATAAATTTACAGCATACATAGTGAGTGTTATCAAACAAGGGGGACCCATAATCTTATCCCAGGCAAGTATGTTTGTGAAATATCAATGAAAGCTCGCACAAATAAAACAGTTTCAGCCACTTCTAGGTGTTGTCACTACTTAAACAATTTCAACCACTTACTTTATTCTAGGTGTTGTCACTACTTGCAAATTTTTGCATACATTAACAACCATTTTGATACTATAACATAATTAGAAAAATATAAATCAATAATATTGGTATATATGGTTACCTTTCCATGACATGGAGCATGAGTTGATGTAGATGAATGCATTTGCGGTCTTATATCCTTTGGGAAACTATTAGCATCTCCATGAGATAATCCTAACAAATCTTCAATTGACTCTATATTAAGTTGAGGATTGCATTGTTGTATTACGGTCTTAAAAGAATTTTGCAATCTATCAATCTTATCTTGAAACTCGTCCCTTAATGTAGAGACCTCTTCACTGTGGGCTTGTTTCAAAGCATTAATCTCTGCCTTTCTCTTTAAGGAAGTTTTAGTTATGTTTCTCCCATAACAGCGTATCCTGCTTGGACACTCCTTTCCAGAAAAAACTTTAAAAGCTTCTGTATCACTTTCCTCCTTTTCAACCATTTCTTGAAGTTGGGACTAGCATAAATTACAAAAAAAAAAAAAATTAGCTACTATTATAGACAATGTTGGCCGATTATATTAAGCAAACGTATTATATAAACAATGTTACATACAATTACTTTTACAGTTTCTACATCCAGTTCCTTTCCTTTATTTCCTTTTCGAGTTTCAACAAACATTTCTGATTGAGTGGGCTCTCTTTTTTCCTTTTCACGCTGCACAAATCAAAATAATTCCATAACAAATTATGTGAATTAAAATTCCTATTCACGAGTCAAAGAAAAGTTTTTCACGAATACTTTAATTGAACAAAGAAACATTCATACAAGGAATAATTTATTGAGAACAAAAGAAAGTTATCACTTTTTCACGAGTCAAAGCAAAGTTTTTGGGACCCATTCGATGCATCCACTTTAGTTGAGCTCTATTTCTAGTGTTATTTTCACTGATTGCCTACATTTAAATTTGACAGAATTATTATAATAAATATTACTTAATTATGGCATACATAGAAAGGTGTAAATTCACACACATACATAAAAAAATTATTAATCTTACTTGTATACATAAAAAATGATTGAGAAAGACTTGACACAAAAGACTAAACACCAATCCCTGTTATAGGGATACAAGACTCTTAATCCTAAATAAATACGGAAATCAGAAAACAATTCATGGTAATAACTAAGAAATATGGAAATTAATCTTATGAGAAAATCTATGATACTCTAAATTTAGAAACTAGTCTCATGCAATAAACTACGATACTCTAACATTGAGATATTCTAGTATACTTTTGCGGTTCCTTTTAAGTTGTCATTTTAAGATCTACCAATACCAAGATAAATAATAATTTTTGTTAATTTTGATGAACTTTCAGTCTTTTTCCTATAATGCCCTAAACTATTTATCATGTCATTCCATTGTCTTTATGCAATAAATAGTTACAGGTATTTGTTAAGAGCCTCGCATTAGATGAGAGATGGCTTGAAGCCTTGAACATATGTTTATAAGTTGAGGGCAATCCTCACTTTACAAGTCGGTTTTGTAAGGTTGAGGTAGGCTCAATCCACACTTTAAAAGTATTATTGACAAAACGATAATTAATGTTGCATTAAAATTTGAAAACGGCGGATAAATAGGAACAAAATTCTTCAACAAAAGTGACAATTAAAAAGTAACAAAGGGGATACTTTCTTATATTATAACACTATGCTAAAAGGAAACTTTGTCCCCTGACTACATTTTCTAGTTTCTCCTCATTTTCTACCAAAATTTCCTTTGAAGATGCAAACTGCACTAAAAATATAAAAGTGAAGAGCTAAAGTATTACTTGTACAGGTGAATACTTACTGCAATCATGACACTTTCATGGAATATCAACGGAATATGAACACCCAAAAGATGTCGTAGGAAAAAGCAGAAGAGAGGAGTACAGTCGCAACCTATTAAATTAGATGAATAAGAAAATGACAATAATTGTAATTGATGACAAACAGAAAAAATTAAGAAAAGGAAGAATGGTTAATTAACTGTAGATATAAGGATTCCATTTAGCTACCTTAATATTGGGTAATTGAGCCAGCTGCAAGACTGTTATCATCAAACAGATTCCCTGTTAAGAACAAAAAATACATTAAGTGAACAGCTATCAGTCAAAGATCAATCACACAGTTACTCATTGGTTTACAGTCTCAAACATGCTAGATAGCAAACAAACTTCCAGTGCAATGCTTCAGAAAGCTCAATAGGAACCAACCAAGATCCCAATGTTGTATTTGGCCCATGTGTGCAGACTCATACAGATGCATTATTTAAATATTTGACAATAATAAACTTGACGAGTATGTGTAGGGAAATGGGAATAATGGTCACAAGATTTCCAATTTATAGACTAATGAACAGCGCTCAAGTAATCAGGTTGTTAAAATTGTTAAAACTTCAAAGAACGGTGGATGAGGAACCAGTTGTTAAATCAATTGGAAACTTAATAGATGAGCTATAAAGTTTGTTAAACCATGAATTCCTGTTTTGAAACTTTTAATAGGACATGGTCACATATGAGAACTAGGAAAATCCGACTACAGAAACCATTGCAAACTTCTACTCTAGTTTATCATACAAAGCTTCTAGCTTCCTCTCAACTTCAAATCACAGACAGTATTCACAAACAACATTTAAGAAAGGGAATTGACTTTTGTCTGCTAGGCATCTGAACAAAGTAAGATTCAA